TCCTTTAATAGGTATCTAAAAAGTTTGCAAGAGTCTAAGTTTAAAAGTATTATTATTAGGCTTTCCCGCCAGACATAACGAGCAAGTGACGGAGTAGGGAACCCATCCTGAATACAGTTGTGCTGGCTTCTTCAATGCATGCAATAATATCGGTGTTGTGCATTTCTCGCAAAACCTTCATACGAAGAGATGCTGAAAGAGATATTTAGAGTACTTCATACCTCACTAAAACTAAGCAGCACGCTGCTATGCGTGGGGCTTGCAGCTTGCGCTTGGCTAACAATCACCATGCGGTGCTACCAATAATAATGAAAGTCTTCTATCTTAGCTTAGAGTTGTCCTGAGCTGCAACTGAGTTAAATAATTAAAAGGAAGTTCTTTTAAAAATCAGGGCGCCCTGCCACCATGCTTCTGGTGCCCTAGAGGTCTCGACATAAGTAAGTCATTATCATGAGTTGCAGCACACCTTTATTATAATTTGTTGTAATTACTACTAAAAGCTGATTCAGCATGCATATGCGCCCAAGTCTCCGTTGATATCTGGAGGAAAACGCTGTAGAAGACTGCTCTACATTTGATCGCCCTTCAATGGCCGCCTTGCATGCAAGAATAAATGCATGCATCAATATCAGACAAAGAATGCTACACAAAGCATAAGGGAAAAGCCTCTGCGGTGAACAGTGGCAAGCCTGGCGATCCCTGACTGCAGCATCAACAAGTGATCGGCAATAACACCAAAAATAAACAGCAGTTGCAGATGCTGCTGGCTTGCTTTCCCTTCCTATTCTTTTTTCTTTTTTCGTTGTTTAAATCTCAGGCCTCTACTGCACACTCCTTCTGTCTCGTTACTGCACCCATGGCTATCTATAGACACCCAGGCAGAAGATAGCCCTCGTTAGTTTGAGGATAAGAGTGATAGGAGGTTTAGAGGCTGCATGCGCTGTCTGATGTTGGTATGTGCATTTCCACGGGAGTGCAGTCTGGGCATTGAGGGCAAAAAGAAAGTTAGACAATTATAAGTAAAGTTTGTTTAAATAAATAAAACAAACTTATTTACAATAAAAATAAACAAAAGAGTAGTTAGTAAATAAATAAAACAAACTTATTTACAAAAATACACACAAACGAGTTATACGTAAAAAAACAAACAACATATTTGTTGTATGAAGCAAAAAGGGCATTTGTTTTGTGCATGCGCATCTATGAGAAACTCCCCTAAATGGGATAAATAAACAGGATTTGGGGCTGTGAGGATATCAAAGCCCTGAAAGACAGGAGATCTGCCTCTACAGTGGCTCTGCGCAGCTGGAGCCGGTAGCTCTCTATGTTGTCAGCACCACATCCTTTGACACTATCTCCCCCAAAGACAGCTCCTTGACGAAAGAGCTTTCATTGCTGACTTCATTTAGGGTTTAAAGCCTCCAAAGACGGTGCGAGGCAAAGGAATGAAGCAGCGAGATGATGTGCGGGTGTGGTTGTATTACTTGGGCCTGCTACGAGCAATCTAATTTACTCTAAACAAAGTCAGAACATAATCGCTGTTGGCTTGTGTATCAGCAACATCCTTTCCACTCCCTGTGGGGTGTCTCCCTATGCCTCATTGCTTCTTCTGGTGAGCAGGGTCTGTCTCCTACCAGCAGATAGCAGACAGATTGCAAATAGTAAAACTCTTCAAGCCTTATTTGCATTCTTTAGAAACAGAGAAAAGCAACAGCTAGCCAGATATAATAACAAGGGGTCAGCTCGAGCTGTAGTGGAGGCGAAGTACTTGAGATAAAATGCTTCTAATGGCAGCTTCACTCCGCCTTTAGTTTTCAGCTGTTCTGTGCATAGCAACGTGGGGATCTAGCTAGGTCTAGGGAACATATGTTTGCTCGCTGTGTTGTAATTACAACTACTTTTTGTTGGTCAATCTCGCATGCGAACATAATCAAGCCCCATTTGATGCATGCATTAACACTGTAGAGAATAATTAAACACTTGCTTGGCCTCTAGAGGGCAGCCTGCACTGCAAGTAAAAGTAAAGTGTATCTATACCAACGACATACAGTGCATGCTACAGGAAACAACCCAACGACAAAGGCAGAGCAAACAAGGATTGCATCTGAAGCTTTGTTTGTAGCGGCACTTCACTGTAGGGGTGGCTATGCGGCAGCAGTCGCAGGAAGTCGTACATGCATTTGTATGTGTGTGTGTATGTGCGTGTGTGTGCGTGTATATATATATATATATATATATATATATATATATGTATATATATATATGTGTGTATATATATATGTACATATATAGGTATATATATATATATATATGTGTGTGTGTGTGTGTGTGTGTGTGTATGTGTGCTTGTGTGTGTGTATGGATTTGCGTCTCAGTGCTCGCATGCACCTCTCAAAGAATATTTATTTGCATGCATTTTTTGTGTGTGTATGTGCGTGTGGCTGGCCGTGGGCTTCCGCATCCCTCTCTCTACATATATATTATATATATATAATATATATAGAGTTTGTGTGTGTGTGTGTGTGTGTGTGTGTGTGTGTGTGTGTGTGTGTGTGTGTGTGTGTGTGTGTATTGGGGTTGTAGAGTACTTAAAAACAACTCTACTGAGGGCAGTATAGCTGCCTTTAAGATCATATTAGGGTTTAGGGTTTAGGGTTTAGGGTTTGGGGCTTGTGTGTGTAACCTATGCATGCACTTGCATACAAATCAAGACAACGTGCATGCAGCAGGGGGCGCCGCTGGGAGCAACCTTCCTCTAAGAAACAGATTAAATAAGCTCAGTGAACCCCTAAACTCCAGTACTAAACCCTAAACCCTAAACCCTAATGTAAAAAACCCCAGCCCCTTAACGCTCGCAAGGAGATCTGGACACTAGAATCTAGGGTTTAGGGTTTAGGGTTTAGGGTTTAGGATGTGCAACTGAGAAGCAGAGGGGGAAACACTATTTAGAGTGTTTATTATTCAGAAAAGAGATACGATGTCTGCAGCAACAACAGAGTCTCCTGCTGCTGCTGCAGCATCATTGGTGTGGCCCACAGAGCAGCAACAACAGCAGCAGCAGCAGCAGCAACAGCAACAGCAGCACCCATAGCTTTTACACACTAAGTTGAAAGCTTTTGATCGGAACAGAGGATCAAAAAGCAGGATGTTAGCAAATCAGCAGCAGCAAGTGCTATCTCTCATCAGAAGCGAGAGCCATTCGTTTTAGGCTACCGTGTTTCGTACATAGTTCATTGCTGCAGCTTGTTTTACTTAGATATTGCCTTAATTCCTCCTGCAGCAGCAGCAGCAGCAGCAGCAGCAGTAGAAGCAGCAGCAGCAGCAGCAACAGCAGCAGCACCCTCTTAGGGATTTGTTGTGGCAGCCTGCTGCTTCCTGTGGCTGCCTGTTGTCCCGCTGCTTCGCATTATTGTTTTCGTGTGTTTTTTTGTCTTTTTCTTTTATCGAAGTTGTTGTTGCAGCAACAGCAGCAGCAACAGCAGCAGCAGCAGCAGCAGCAGTGCTTCCTGGGTGCTGCTCTGCTGCCCCTCCGCCGAGTGACCCCGCAGGCTCGTGTCGCTGTCGTTTGTTTTTCTTCTTCTTATTTCATTTGCATCTACTAATTCCTGCTGCTCCTTGTTCATTTGAGAGGCATTGCTGCTGCTGCTGCTGCAGGGGCGCTCTTTCTGCTGCTGCTGCGCCCAGCAGGAGACCCGCTGCTACTGCTGCAGCAGCAGCAACGCACAGCTGCACATCAGCCCCCTCAGGATTCTGAAGCTGCACTGCCACGATGAAGTGCACAGCAGCAGCAGAGCCTAGCCGCAGCAGCAGCACTCCCTTGGATGCGCAGCAAGAAGCAGCAGCAGCACCAGCAGCATCAGCAGCAGCACCGGGACCGTCATCGCCAGCAGAAGCAGCAGAAGCAGCAGAAGCAGCAGCAGTAGCAGCAGCAGCAGCACCTGCTGCGCCTTTAACATTGCACAATTCGAAGCAACACAATCAGCAGCAGAATGTGTCTGCAGCAGAGGAATATATGCGCACACCAGCCATAGCTTCTTTGCTGCTGGTTCCGAGCTTGAATGGGGCATCAGCAGCAGCAGCAGCAGCTTCTGCTGCTGCTGCTGCTGGCAGTGCGCAGCAGTCGGAAATAGATACAGGTAGCAGCTGGCCGCAGCTGCAGCAAGACACCGATATGGAGCTGAGGACCCCGCAGCAGCAGGTGCAACAGCAGCTGCAGCAGCTACAGCTGCAGCAGCTGCAGCAGCTGCAGCAGCACTTGCAGCAGCAGCTTCAGCAGCAGGCTCGACAGCAGCAACAGCAGCAGCTGCAGCAAGGGCCAAACAGTAGTTCAACACACGGCTGCGAGCAGAGCCTGCTGCTGCAGCAGCTGCAGCAGCTGCTGCAGGTGCCCCGCACAGAAGGGCCCCCTCTTGTGTCTCTTCTGTCTCAGCCAAGCAGCAAACACAACAAGAGGCACCGCCAACAACGCAGACAGCGGCAGCATCGGCGGAGGCAGCAGCAGCAGCAGCAGCAGCAGCAGCCCCAGCAGCACCCGCAGCGGACGTCGCAGCATGAGCAGCAGCATATACAGCAGGATGAGCTGCAGCAGCAAGACTTACAGCAGCGAGAGGAACAGCAGCAGCAGCAGGAACAGCAGCAACAGCAGCTGAAGCAGCAGCCTTTCCCTGCAGCAGAAGAAGCCCTACTCATGCTTGTGGACGCCCCGGCAGCAGATGGCTGGCGCTCTCAGCAGCAGAAGCAGCAGCAGCCTCAGCAGCAGAAGCAGCAGCAGAAGCAGCAGCAGAAGCAGCAGCAGAAGCAGCAGCAGAAACAGCAGCAGAAGGAAGGGGAGAAAGAAGCAGAGCAGCTAGACCAGCAAGAGCTGCTCCAGCAATTAGTAGTTATGCCGCAGCGACTACAGCCGCTGCAGCAAAAGCAGCAAACGGGCAGCAGCAGCAGCAAACAGTCTCTCAACAGGCGCAGCAGCAGCACCTTGAGCAGTAGCACCGCAGCAGCAACAGGCAGCTGCAGCAGCACCGGCGGCCGCAACAGTACTAGCAGCCTGACGGCTTCTGCTGGTTCTATTCCTGCTGCTGCTGCTGTTGCGCCCGCTGCTATCCCTGGAAGCAGCAGCAGCAGCATAGAGGAGGCCGCGGAGATATCAGATGTGCTTCCGCTGCTTCTGGGCATGTCATTAGGTGGACGAGCAGCAGCAGCAGCAGCGCCAGCAGCAGCAGCAGCAGCTCCTTGCATCCCTTCCTCTCCTGCGCATGCATATCCATCTGGGCGCAGCCACAGCCACGCGACCCCTAGCAGCAGCAGCAGCAGCAGCAGCAGCAGCAGCAGCACGCGATCTCGCCCTTCTCTGTCTCTTCCTTCGCTGCAGCAGCGCATGCAGAAGACAAAGATGTGCCGATTTCATTCTCAGGGTTGCTGCAGCAAGGGGCCCCTCTGCGTCTTCGCACATGACGAGAAAGAGTTAAGAGAGAGGCCTAATCTGCTGCGCACCCGTCTCTGTCCTTTCATGCTGCTCTCATTACCAGGTGTATCTGCAGTAGGAGCTGCAGAAGCAGGGGGGCCCCCTCAACTTTCTTCTCTATCTTCCCCTGCTGCTGCTGCTGCTGCTGCTGCTGCTGCTGCTGCTGGTGCTGGTGCTGGTGTTTCTGGCGGTGCAGGGGGCCCCCAGCAGCAACAGGGTACACGGGGGCCCCCCTACTGCAGCAGAGGAGATGCATGCAAGTTTGCCCATTCATTAGAAGAGCTTAGGTCTACCCCTGAATTTTTTAAAACTGCTGTTTGCCCTCTGCATGCAGCAGGGGGCCCCCACGGCTGTCCTTCAGGGGCCTCCTGTCGCTTCGCGCATGGTGAGGCAGAGCTGCGCCCGAGGCCTCATGCGGGGCCCCCTCCAAGACAATCAGCAGCAGCAGCAGCAGCAGCTGCTGCTGCTGCTGCTGCTGCTGCTGGGGCTGCTGGGGCACCTGCACCTGGAGGGAAAGCGGCATCAAGCACCCCAGCTGCTGCAACAGGAACTGCTGCTGCTCCTGCTCCTGCTGCTGCTCATACACATACAAGAGCAAGCTGGGGAGGTAGGGGGGCCCCTACGGGGCCCCAGGGGCTGTGGGGTGTGAAGGAGACGGGAGACAGCAGCAGTTTATGGAGAGGCCCCCGTCAGAGCAGCAGCAGCAGCAGCAGCAACAGCAACAGCAGCAACAAGAGAGACGCTTGGCAGCGGATCCGTAGAGAAACCCATCCCCCCGCAAGTATAGATTCGCAGCTCAGCCCTGCTGCTGCTGCTGCTGCTGCAGAACACAAGGAGCCCCCGATGTACAGAGTATCGGATGCAGCATCTCTCAAGTGGCGCAAATCGCAGCAGCAGCAGCAGCAGCAACAGCAGCAGCAGCAGCAGCAGCGGCAGGCCGAGTTGGCTGAAGAGTGGCTGCATGCAGAAGGCATAGGGGGTAGTAACAACGACAGCAGCATCTGCAGCAGCAACATAGGAGAAGGAAGCTGGGGGTTGGGGGCCCCACAGGCCCCTTTTGACCCGCAGCATGCGCTGCAGGAGTTGCTTATTTATGCGCTACAGCAGCAGCAACAGCAACAGCAGCAGCAGCAACAGCTGCAGCTGCAGCAGCAGCTACAGCAGCAATTGCAGCAGCAACTGCAGCAGCAGCAGCAAAACCACTTCGATCTTTCAGGAGTGACGGCTCTTATAGAGTCTTTAGGAGGGGGCGCGCGCCTCTCGCATCATCCCTTTGGCGGCAGCAACAACAGCAGCAGCAGCAGCAACAGTAGCAGCAGCAGCAACACTCTGCTGCAGCACCCAGCAGCAGCTGGAAGCTGGCTGCCTGCCTCATTAGATGAAAGAGTAATGGGGGGCCCCCCAGCAGCAAGACAGCAGGGGCCCATAGACATAGCTACAGCAATAGCTGCTGCTGCTTGCAGCATGACACAGCAGCAAGTGGAGCAGCAGCAGCAGCAGCAGGAGCTGCTTCAGCAGCAGCAGGGGCTGCTTCAGCAGCAGCACGAGTTGCTGCTGCAGCAGCCGCAGCAATCATTTGTGGTACAGAGCGAAGTGTTGCCCACGGCGGAGCCTCTTAGCAGCAGCAGCAGCAGCAGCAGTAACAGCAGCAGCAACAGCAGCAGTAACAGCAGCAGCAGCAGCAGCGATCTGAAGCAGATAGGAGGGACCCCAGCAGAATTTGCCTCCGAGTCTTCTACTGTCTGCCCCGTCTCCATAACAACTGTCTGCATTCAAAGCAACAAAGACTTCAAGTAGATTAACAAACACCACTTGCATGCATGCATGCGTACACCCCAAGCATGCATACACCTCATGCATGCATGCGTGCATGAGGTGTATGCATGCATCTATGCAGCAGAACACCGCAAAGACATACTTATACACCAAGCATGGACACTCTGCATGCATGCACATATACATTAATGAATGCATGCATGCATGCACATGCATTTTTTTCATTCATGCATGCATGCATGCATGCTCATGCATTTTTTCTTGGATGCATGCATGCATGCTTGCATGCATGCATGCACGCTCATGCATTTTTTCTTGCATGCATGTATGTATGCATGTATGTATGCATGCATGCATGCATACATACACCCTATATGTATGTATGTATGCATGTATGCATGCATGCATGCATGCATGCATGCGCATGCATTTTTTTCTTATTTGAGGAGCGAGTTGCCTTTTATTTTACAGGGTAATCGATGCAGCAGAGGCCTCGTTGTGACGCCTTTCTTCTTTTTCTTGTTTATGTTTCTTTTGTCTGGGTTGGGGCTTAGTTATCTTCCTGGGCATATGTTTGTTTCTTATACCTCCTGCATTATATATTCTTCTATTTGCATACATGCATGCATGCATGCATATATATATATATATATATATGCGTGTAGCTGCAGCAACAGCAGGAGCTGGCTGGGGCTTTCCTCTTGAGCGTGCCCGAGCGTAGAAGCATCTGTCGCCGCGCTGCAGCAGCAGCTGTTGTTGTTGCTGCTGCTGCAGCTCGTGCTGCTGCTGCTGCTGCTGCTTTTGCTGTATTGTGTCTCTCACTGGGATCTGTGTTGTTTTTGCTGTTGCTGCAGCAGCAGCAGAGAAAGGTAGTAGGTTGCATGCGAAACGGGACGCCTGGCTTATCAGTGATTCATCTGCATGCAAGCAATGCATGCATGCAAGCAATGCATGCATGCAAGCAGTGCATGCATGCATTCATGCATGCGTGCATTGCCACACCTTATACATGCAATGCATGCATGCATGCATGCACTGCCCGCCTCAGCGTTGTCTAGCTATGCTTGCTTTTTTGCTGAGGCATTGTCTTCTGCTGAATAACAGCCTCTTCGTGTGTACACCGCTGCATGCATGCATGCATGCATGCATACAGCAGCACACACAAGGGCGCATGCATGCATGCATGCAGTTAGCATGCAGAGGAGTCCGCTTTTTGCTGCCGCATCGCTGAGAGGCGTATGCATGTAGAAGGGTCTTTGAATTTGCATCTGCAGCCCCAACTAATAAACACCATTTCAGGTTTTCAAGGTGTCTGTACACCCCAAGTAACGCAATAAACCCTAAACCCTAAACCCTAAACCCTAAACCCTGAGCTCGCAAGTCCTACACTTCCTAGCAAATACACACTCCTTTAACCCTAAAACCCTAAACCCTAAACATTAAACCCTAGAACCCTAAACCCTAGAGGGCTAATTACTACTACACCCTTGAAAGTGAAGGCTCCAGGGAAAGACACAAAATAAGGGGCAGCCGCTGGGGATCAATAACAGCAGCAGCAGCAGCAGCAGCAGCAGCAGCAGCAAGTGCAGCACAGGAAGGCGTACCACCTATAAGAACAGCAGCAGCAGCAGCAGGGTCTGCATAAGCCTCTCCAGCAACAGCAGCAGAAAGATAAGAGCCGCCTATGCAGCAATGCAGAAGCTGCTGCCGTGCATCGACGCTAAGCCCTAAACCCTAAACCCCAAACCCTAAACCCTAAACCCTACCCCCTAATACATAAACCCTACCTCGTAGACCCTAAACCCCAACCCCTCAACATGAGTAATCCCAGGAGAAAACCTCAAGCCCCCGTGCTGCTGTAGCAGCTGTTGGAGCTGCAGCAGCAACAGCAGCAGCAGCAGTTGTTGCAGCAGCAGCAACAGCAGCAGCAGCAGTTGTTG